TCCCCCCAAAAATCTGCTTCTTCCTTTGGACTCTCACACACGGAAGAATCCCCACCATCGACAGGTTGCAAAGAGTTGGTTGGGAGCTGGCCAATCGGTGCGAACTATGCAGACAGAGTGAGGAGACTCAGGATCACCTATTCGCAAGCTGCGGATATTCCATGAATGTCTGGAACTTGATTGGTAGCAAGGGTAGAATTAACACCCAACCAAGATCGAGCATCATTGACGTCATCCGTAGCTGGCCTTCCAGATCTTCAAACGGCTTCGACGACTGGTTTCAGACGTGTATTCTCCACTCCATATGCTGGAACCTTTGGCTGGAGCGCAATAAACGCATTTTCCATAGCAGTGATACTCCCTTTGGAATCATTGCCTGGCGGGCTTGCAAAGATGCAACCGAGTGGATCATCGCTCATGGCAAAGCTGACAGAGTCTCTCGTGAAACCTGGTTCAGGAATCTCTTCTAGTTTTGCGTCCATTCTGTGCATGTGGGGAGTTGGTTTACCCTTGTCGACTTGATTCCCAGCCTCTCTTCTCCGAGGGGTCGAGCTTTGCTTTAGTTTTCCTTTGTTGAGTCTTCAGTCCTGCTGAACCTTTCTTTTTTTTTTGCCTTCTCTTTATTTTTTGCTTCCTGTAATGGGACCTTTTTTTCTACGTTCTTTATTATAATCACCATTATCAAAAAAAAAAAAAAAATGAGCCAAAGCTCGATACTCTACTTCAGAAGATGACCTTGAAACAGTTGTTTGATTTTTACTTTTCCATGTGAGCAATGAATTCCCAAAATAAGTACAAAACCCTGTAATGGATCTTCTTGTATCTGGACAAGCTGCCCAGTCTAAATCACTATAACCAGTGATAGTAAAATCTGTGTTGCTGCTAAACAAGATGCCTTGCCTTGGAGACTTCTTGAGGTATCTAAGTAATTTGTATGCTGCCTGTATGTGTGTGTCAAGAGGGTTACGTTGAAACTGACTTAGTTGCTGCAAAGTGAAACAGATGTCTGGTCTGGTTATAGTTAAGTAGTGAAGCCTCCCAATCAACCTTCTGTAGGACTTAGGATCATCAATGGGAACTCCTTCTCTTGAACTCAGCCTTACTTTCATGTCAATAGGAGTTAATGTCTCCTTAGCATCTGCATAACTAGTGTCTTCTCACAACTCTGTACAATATTTCCTTTGATTGACCACAATGCCATCAACATTTCTCACAATTTCCAGACCAATGAAATATTTCAGGGCTCCAGGGTCCTTAATCTTAAAATTTCTTCTTAAATACAACTTTACCAACTCAAGGTCATCAAGTTTTTCACCTGCCAGGATGATATCATCCACATAAACAAGTAGAATCACTAACCTTCCTTGAACTTTCTTTGTGAACATGGAGTAGTCTGAAGCTGATTGTGAAAAACCATTCTTCAGCAGAGATGAGGTTAGCTTGGCAAACCATTGCCTACTTGCTTGTTTCAAGCCATAAAGAGACTTTCTAAGTCTGCACACTTTCCCTTCAATGCCTTCCAATCCAGGGGGTGGAGTCATATACACCTCCTCATCTAAATCTCCATGCAAAAATGCATTGGATACATCCATCTGGTGTAAACACCAGTTTCTAGCTGCTGCTACTACTAATAATGTCTTGACTGTATTAATCTTGGCAACTGGTGAGAAGGTATCCAGAAAATCTATGCCATAAATTTGTGTAAAGCCTTTAGCAACTAACTTGGCTTTATATCTTTCAATTGATCCATCAGGCTTGAGCTTGGTCTTAAATACCACTACAAGAAAAAAGACTTTCAGCTACCATTTTCTTGGCGACCATACAAAAATGGTTGCTTATAACCAGGTTTTTCCAACCATTCAAAAAATGGTAGCTGATACAGAACTCTAGCGCAACCAGTACTAAAACGGTTGCCCATAATCTAAATTTCAACAACCATACGCAAAATGGTTGGTGATATCGTACCCTTAAGCAATCATAATGTAAATGGTTGCTGATGAATAAAAACTTTGACGACCATTTCTGAAATAGTTGTTGATACCATATCCTTGAGCAACCATTTTGTACATGGTTGCTGATAAATGAAATTTTCGGCAACCATTTGTCAAATGCTTGGAGGTACCCTACCCTTAAACAACCATGATGTACATAGTCGCTGATAAATGAAGACTTCGACAACTATTTGTAAAATGGTTGGTGATACCCGATACTTAAGCAACCACTATGTACATGCTTCCTAATAAACAAAGACTTCGACAACCATTTGCGAAATAGTTGGTTATACTCTATACTTAAGCAACTAAACGTCTAAGAGTTGTTGATAAACAAAAACTTTAGCAACCTTGACAAAATGGTTGGTAATACACAATCTTTGTGCAAGGATTACTTAACTCTAAATGGTTGTCGTCTTGTCGATAGCCAAAAATGCATCAACCATTTAGAATATGGTTGGTTATATGCATCTCTTAAGCAACCATATACAAAACGGTTGGTGTAGCCTCAGCCCAAATGTCAAACGCTGTCGTTTTATTGTTTGGGGGGAAGTCTGAAACAATTACAATAGATTATTGTTCTTACTTTTGGCCATTTCTTTTTCAGATTCAAATCCCTAATTTCGCATCTTCTTCCCCGGTTCTCTACTCACTGCAGGCAGCGCGACAGTGTCTCCCTCCATGCCTATACCTCCCCAGATCCGGCGGTCTCCAAAGGAACGTCGGGCCGAGACGATTATTGGCGAGAGCGTGACCGCAGAGAAGCAGCAGGGACTGACAAGGCGAGACGACGATGGTGCGACGAGAAAAGGGAGTTCGCTTCCCCTGACTCGAGATTGCGGTGAAAAGCTTCCGATTCATCCTCGCCACAAGCATCTCTCCGGCCGCAGATCTCTTATTTCCCTTCTCCTTGAGCACAATCAGCTCCAGCTCTGGATTCATCTGAAACCAAACGGCGGTTGAGTTCTCTATCAAACACTAGCTAGCATAGTGCCACAGTGTTTCTCGTCGATTGAAGGAGGAGGAGCGAAGGTTTATCCTTACTATTAGGGGGCTTTCTCACTTAGTTAACTGATCGAAGACAAGACTCTCTTCTCAGATTTGGTGCTGCTCTTCAGAAGAAAAAAATGTACAGAGATTTGGTCTATACACGACAATAGATCACATATGTGTTAATTTGTTTGAATTATTGAATTTAAGTAATTAGTTTAACACTAAATTATTGAAATTTGAGAACTGTAACCCTATGAGTGCACTCCCATGGATTCTTTTATGAAACCCTTCCACTTTAGGGATGGCCTCTCTAAGAGGAAGAAATAGTTTCTTATTTGTGTTATGTCTAACCTAATCATTGGTTTTAATTTATTTAGTGATTATTGGCTTCCTTACAAAGTATAAGTTGGTGACGATTATATCTATCTTGATTTGTCCATTATTTCTTATCCCATACTTTGTCTTTCTTTAATCTCTCTGACTGTCTTTGTTTAATCTCTTCGGGTCTTAAGTTTAGGTCAGGATTTTGATTGTGTTTTGGTCTCTGACTGTCTTTCCCTATATGATTCTCCATATTTTGTAGTATATTTGATGCTGGTTTTGCTTCTATATGTAGCAAGTTTCATGTCGGGTTTCCAGTAGGCTGTGATGGCTTTTCCAAGTATTTGGCAGCAAGTTTATAAGGGGTTCTTTATTGGTTTTAAAACAGGTTTTTGAATGTCTTGAAACTGGTTTCTGCATGTTTCTTATGTTATTTTGCCTACCGATATTGTTCTGCTTGGATTTCAATTTTAGTCTTGTCCATTGCCTATATGATTTTGCAATTTTAGTCTTGTTAATGGCCTATATGATTCTGCAAATTTTTGCTCGTGTATGCAACAGGTTTCTTGTGGTTTTGATATTAGTTAGTTTCTGTTGGTTTTCCCATGTTTTTTTGTTGCTAACTTACAACAGGCATGTACGCAGGCTTTTGACAAGGAGATTAGTTGCAATGGCTAGAATGGACTACTAATGTTTGATTTGGCAAGAAGATTAGTCGAAGATAATAGAATCAACTTTATTGATATTGGATTTTGGAGATTAGTTGTAGAGAATAGGATAAACTCTAAAGGATTGAGATTGACAATCCCATTTTATCTGATGTTCTCCTGAAAGGGACAATAACAGTCTCATTTTAGATGTAAATATGTATGAAATACCACTTCTATCCACTTTTCCTTGTTATGTAAATTACTCTTTTATTAATATCAATTATAATATCTTTTGTTGGAAAGAAGCTTATTACAATATTGGTATTAAATGTACACATTAAGAAGTGACGAGCTACAAATATATTAGTCCCATAAATATGCCTTTTGGCTACCATAATGAAGGGTTGCTTAAATATCAACCTAGTTCTTACTTTTGGTCGACCCTCTCAAATGGTCGCTCAAATCTCCCATTTGACAACTATAAATGAGATTGTTGCTTGAAATGCTACCTTGTAGCGACCATAGATATGGTGGCTGAAATTCTATCCTTTCACCAACCATTTTTGGATAGTCGCTGAAAACGAGCATTTCCAACCATAATAAGATAGTCGCTGAAGTGGATTTTCACCAACCATAATTTATAGCCTAAAGTAGATTTTTGGCGACTATATAAAAAAAGGGTCGCCTTGGACTTATACCGACGCACTATTGCCGACCATGTTGGCAACCCTCATTTATGGTCGCTGAAAGGTTTCAGCAACCATTTTTTTAGTTTGGACTACCATAATTGATGGTTGCAGAAAACATATTTTCTTGTAGTGTACCCACTTGCAACCTATAGTTCTTTTTCCTGTAGGCAGAGTAACTAGGTCCCAAGTGTGGTTTTCAGTCAGAGCATTCAGCTCTTCCTCCATGGCCTTAACCCAATGATGTTCCTTTGCTGCTTCTTTGTAAGTTTGGGGATCCATGAAAGCTACCAAGCTCATAGCATATCTCTTCTGTTGTGGAGTAAGCTGATGGTAAGAAACATAATTAGCCATACAGTATTGACTAATCTGATTTATGGTAGTGACATAATCTTTATGCCAAACTGGTGGCTTCCTTTTCCTTGGTGGAAGCTCATTATCATCCAGTTAATCCCCTAGTAGCAATTCATCATCTGATTCTTCCTGATAGTCAGGCTCAGCATCAGCAAAATCTTCATCTGTGGAGTGGTCTTCATCTGCTGAGGAAGGTGAAGCAGGAGACTCAGGACTATGATCCACAAAGGATGAGTTCTGAGGTTCCAAAAATTGAGAGGATTCATCAGCAGATGAAGATAGAAAAGGTGTAGGTGCAACATGGCCCCCATGAGCCTGAGTATCAGGAAACTGAACTGTGGGAAGATCAGGAAAGGTAGGTGTATCTTCTTCATCATCATCAACCATTCCATGAAAAGGAAGGATATCCTCATAAAAGGTGACATCTCTGGACAAGAAAACTTCATGAGATGTTAGATCAAAAAGTTTGTAGCCTTTAAAACCAAAAGAGTACCCTAAAAAGATGCACTGCCTTTCTCGAGTTTGAAACTTTGTCCTTTCACTGCTAAGAGTGGAGGCATAGGCTAAACAGCCAAAAACTTTTAAATGGTCAAGTGATGGAGGAGATAGATAAAGCAGCTCATAGGGACTTTTATTCTGCAAGATAGGGGTAGGAAGTTTGTTGATCAAGTGTACTGCATGCAGGATGCAGTCACTCCAAAACTTCAGAGGCACTCCAAATTGGAATCTTAAGGCTCGTGCCACATTTAAAATGTGCTGATGTTTACGCTCAACCCTACCATTTTGTTCTGGTGTGGCAACACAGGACATCTGATGTATTATCCCATGTTCTTGGTAGAATTCATTCATATGAAACTCTCTCCCTTGATCACTTCTGATAGTTTTGACAGATTTAGAGAACTTGTTCTTTACCATCACACAGAAACCTTGCAACAATGTTCTTGTTTCTGATTTATGTTTCATAAGAAAGGTCCACACAACACGAGAATGATCATCAACCACAGTAAGGAAATATGAAAAACCATCATAAGATTCAAGTGCCACGGGCCCCCATATGTCTACATGGATAAAATCAAAAACATAACTAGCTCTGTGCTCACTTAAATGAAAAGGTAATCTCTTGTGTTTAGAAAAATGACAAACATCACAATGCCTCACTGTCTCAGCAAAATGGTTACCAGTACCTTGTTCCTTGTTCTTCCTTTTCAACTTCCAGCAGTCTGCAATGTTATGATTAATCTTTTTGCAGTATCTGCAAAACAGTCCTGTTTCACTTGCCTCTGCATTGCCTTGACTTGGTGCTTGTTTCCCAGTATTGTTATCACTTCCTTGACCAGTCTGCCTACCATAAGATGCAAGAGCTACTGATTGAGTAGTTCTTCCTTTGTCTGACTTCAACTTTTGTTCATGTTGGAATAAATCCCCATATGCTGCAACAACTGTGGGAAGGGGCTTCATCATCAAGAGCTGGGTTTTGACTACATCAAAAGCAGGATTCACTCCTCTTAAAAACCTAACAAGATAGTCTGTTTCTTGTTTGGCCTTAAAGGCTTCAACTGCTGGACAAGGTAAAACTTGTCCTGGTGCACAGGTACATGGAAAAATTGGGTTAAACTTTGAATACTCTTCCCATAATCCCTTCATTAACGAATAATACTGGGTAATCGTCAGGTTTCATTGCTTACAAGCATGAATATCATCTTCGAGATTTGTCAACTTAATAGCATTGGCTTGACCAAACCTGTCTTTCAGTTATTCGCACAGATTTTGAGCCACTTTATGGCTTTGGACACTGCGTTTGATATCCTTATGCAAAGAATTGATGATCCAACAAAGCACCACAGTGTTACAAGCATCCCATGCTCTATACCCATTAGGATCAGATCTGGGATGGCAACAGATCCATCAATAAACCCAAGTTTGTACTTGGTTTTCAGGGCGATGCGAATAGATCTCGCCCACATCTGATAGGTGCTAGCATGTAGTACTTCAGATAAAATAGACTGAGACAGATTTTCATTAGGGTTCTGATAGAATGGGTTACCAAACTGGAAATCAGGAGAGGGTTGTGTAGCTTGAGCTGATGCCATGGTTGCTGCAGTAGCGGAAGAATGAACAGCTGAACCAGACATCGATTGTTCTTACCTCCACTCATTGTGACTTAGAAATGCTGCTCCGTCCTGGATCAGGCTCCAAGAATGGCGCTGCGCTCTGATACCATAAGAGAAACGAAGGACAGTTGAGGGTTTTGGGTGAAGGAGCAGCAATAAAAACTACTGACCTCTCTTTTGTGTTTTTGTATTTATACTCAGTCACAACAGCTAATACACAGTGTTAACCGTTATACAAAATCCATTAACTAAAGCCCGACATGTGGCTCGTCTGGATTCGTTATTGACAACTAACCGGTATTTAAACCTGTTAAACAATAAACACTGAAACGACGACGTTGTAATAAATGCCGCTTTAATTCCAAACTCTCATTATCTTCCACTTCAGTCCATCGTGCTGATGCTGATGAATGGATTGAATCATTGCATGATCGAACTGCTGTGGAGGACTGTTGTGGCTGCTGTTCTTCTGGTGTCAGCTCCCTGCTTGTCCTCCAATACGTCGACGAAGCTTGAGGCATACCAGCCCTTCGGTCGCCGCCTTCTCCTCTCCCAACATTTTTGTTTTTTTAATAGCAACGGTCAGGTGGCCAAAACCGGTCGGGTGGTTTGATTGGCTTGAACGGTTAACCGTTCCGACTGCTCGTCGACCGCCCTTCCTAGCCGTTGCGATTTTGAGGATGTTCCGACCCGGGATAGTGTCCGGGTGTTAGTTTTATCGGTCCGACCGGCCGGATCGGGTCGGTCTTGATAACACTGCTCATTAGGTTCTGGATCGAATCTCGTTGAGCCCGAGAATTTTTAATAACTCATACTTAATTCAATATACCTTTTTTGTATCTAATTGTTTATACTTTATAGAAAGTTAGAAACTACCAAAACTGATAAATTAGTATGTCTAAAGAATAATAGATAGCGGAGTTTTATTGGGTTTTCCCCATTCAAAATTTCCTGACCTCCCCTTAATTTTCGGCAAGGATATTTTAGTCCAAAATATTACTTAAAATCCTGCGCCGTTCAACTGTTTAATTCAATTGTTTTTTAGTAACAGGTTTTGGGCCGGCGGCCCATATCTACTTATTTCTGGTCAATTTAAGTCCATCCATTGAAGCCCATAACAAATCCATTGAAACCCATAACAAAATTAAAAGCAGCCAGTCATTCATCTAATTCTCTTTAATTTTTTTTTTGTCTACCATCATACTTCGGAGTTGGGAGGGCTCACCCCTCCCCTAATGGCTAATACTTCCAATCTCCATGAATCTCTCTCCGGTACGGCTGTACCCCACCCACGAAGCTAACTACATTGTGTTTTCTACTTTTCTTTTATTAGTTTCATTGTGCTACTGTATGTCCAGCTCCACCACTCTTGAGCTATAAACATCCATCATTTTCGCTGCATGTAAATTATACACAAGAAAAGAATCAACTACTTTATGTTCTAGAGCCAAAATTTTGGTGGGTTAACATGTTTGGTTTACCTTTGTCAAATAAAAAAAAAATGAAATTATGGGATTTGTACTATCAGTTGCTTTGATAGTTTGATTGGCGGTTGTTCATTGAGTTGCTTACTTATATTCAAGGTTGTTAACCCGATGGTTAAATCATGGGTTCACTAAAACCCAGTGATAAAAATGGGCGCCACACCATACTTTTGTTTTGAACTTCGTCAGGATTCATCAAATTCGCTTAATCCTGCAAGAAATTGGTAAACCTGACTTCAAACCTTTGGAGTTAAGCAAAATTGATGAATCCAACTCTTTTAATAGAATTATATCTATATTCCTTAGGCTGTTCCAGTTCATTTAAGCTGCCAATCATGAACTCATATGGTGGATTCAAGTACGAACTATTATTTTGGTATAATATTATATGTTATTACTCATATGTTATATGAGATTTGATACATTTTATATATCTATGAACACTATAATCACTTTTTTATATTTTTGGACAAATCGATCTAAACCAGACTAAACGTCCAGAGCATTAACCCTTCACACTTGCTCGATGGGGCTAAATGTAGTTGAAAAACTTGCTTATTATTTTCGTATAATCAAAATCTTGCTTATATTAGTTCATGACATGTTTGTCTCTTTCATATATGTTTTATTTTGATTTGCTTATATTAGTGCATGATATGTTTGTATCTTTCATATATGTTTTATTTTGATTTTCTAGATTGGTCGCGTAAAACAATTAAATTTTTCAGTTTGGATTTAGATATATATGTAATATGTTTATGGTAGATAAAAGGAGAGTGATAATTGCAAAAACTTATTGATTCTCAAGCGAAATTGAAATTGATATAGCTAATACGAATATTTTTTACATTTCAAATTAAATTAAATTTTTTTCATGTTCGTTCGTATCACGAAGCGGGTCGACGCTAATTATAATGGTTGAAAAAAAAGGGAGAAATCACCAGCAGGGGAATGTAGACCAAGCCCATGGACAATTTTTCAATCTTACTGGTCAAGTTTTCCATTTTTTGGCAAGCAAATAAATTGAAAACAAGTCATATTAGTTTTCCCAACTAATTAAAAAAGTCTAAATATATCAAATATATTATGAATGATGATGAAAAACTTTACCGGCCAAAGGCCGGGCACAAGCTAGTGATTATTAAGATGGGACCGCGAGTCCTCACATTTGTCAGCCACTTTCTACCGTGGACTGAATTGTCAATATACAAAGTTACATGACCTAATTATCAATTTTCCCGTACAAAGTTACCATCCATACAATTTGACCCCTAACGTACTGGTAGGCCCCATTTACCAATCACGCGAATAAAACGAGAAAGCTAAAGAGAAAGGAAAAGACGCAACAGAGGACATCAATCTCATCTCAGTAATGGAAGACGTAGACGTTATACTCCACCACCGCGTCGCCGGTCTTCAGATCGAACTCGTGAGTCCTCGCCTGAGCGTACCCGCGGGCGAACCGGAAGGCCCCGCTTCCGCCGACGACGGGCATCTCCCTGACCCCGGAGAAGACGCTGTTCCGGCCCAACACGCTGAGGTTGCTGCCGTTGTACTTGCCTTCCGTAAATGCGAAGTTGAGCACCATCAGGAAGCTGAGCTCGGTCTGTGACGCGGAGGCGTAAATCCCCTGGGCCCGGCCCACGAGCTTGGAGCTGGATTTGGGGCCCACGGTCAGCGGGTCGTCCATCATGTTGACCAGCCCGAAAAGCGAGCGGGAGGTGTTGGTCATGGAGGCGCGTGCGATGGGGACGGCGGTGGGGTTGCGGCCGCTGACGATGTCGTGGAAGTAGAACTTCAGGTGAGTCAGCTTTTCCTTGCGGTGGAGTCCCAGTTTCTCGGGGCGGAGAGTTGTGGAGAATTGGCCGGCGTCGGGTGTGGAGGCGTGGGCGAGGGAGAGGAACAGACATAGTAAGAGGTTGGAGGTTGTGGCCGCCATTGGTGAAGGATATCGGGAGATGTGGGGTTAGAATTAGATAGAAGAAAGGAGGAGGGAATGGTTGGTACTATTTATGATAGTTGGCAAAGGGCGAATGGGCTCTGCTTTTTTGCAGAGGGTGGGCCCGGTTTTGTTGGAGCGTAAAGGGAGTTGGTTTCTATGAACACTTTTAGTCAATTGACTGTTAATCCCTTCAAATCAGAGATTCGTTAATGGGAAATGGACTATCTTTAATCTTGATCGTAGATTTGTTGTGAATTGGCGGAACGGGATTGGAGTCAGTCAAGTATATATGCAGTACTGTGATTAGTTTCCACCAATTTGTCTTGCCCCATTTACAAGTTTGACTATCACCGTTACTAGCGTGAAATGGGGGTGTTTTTGCACCTTTTCACGGGTTGTTTCCTTTTGTTTGGGCACAATTCTCCCATGTCGATTGTCGAATACAAGTTTGATCGCTCATACAAGTCATAACCCATTTCAGAAGCTGGAATCAGTTTTAAGGTACTCGATCTAAACGTATATCGATGATGTAAGTCTCGAATCATGTGTGGTGAAGAGGTTCGAGTTTGGTGAACTCGAACTACTCTTTTGAAATTTCCAACAGCCTTAACTTCGTGCTCGGTTATCCGATCGTAGCAAATTTTTTTCATTTCGCATAACTTTTCGAGGACTACAACTTTTATAATAGATATATTTTCAAAATATATGTGGAAATGTGAAAATTAATGTTAAAGTTATTCCCAAAGCCCCTTATATTAAAAAATACTCCTATTTCGAAAATTTATTTCTAGTAAATGTTGTATTACTAAAAAAGTTATACAAAATAAAAAACTTTGCGACGTTTGCATTATAGAGGACAAAGTTTTGATCCTCCAAAGTTTGGAAAATCGAATAATTGCTCGTTTAGGGGTAACAAATGACGTTTTCTCGGGATGAAGACACAATTTTTTTTTATATATAGGAACTTCCCACCAAACGAGCAATCTTTTGCCAAACGAGCAATTTTTGGATGGCCCTCTTATGAGAAAACATCATTTGCAATTTTTGGGAATAACTTTAACTTTAATTTTCACATCTATTCTAAAAATATTTCTATTATAAAAGTTGCAGTCATCGAAAAGTTATGCAAAATGAAATTTTTTTGCTACAATCGGATAACCGAGCACAAAGTTAAGGTGGTTGAAAATTTCAAAGGAGTAGTTTGAGTTCACCAAACTCGAACCACTTCAGCCTCACATAGTTCGAGGCTTACATCATCCATCTAGGTTTAGATCGAGTCCCTTACACTCGAACCAGTTAGTAGTTCGAATTATTTAAACTCGAACTACTCCAAATTTAGGTATTTTGGAAAACTTTTTTTTATAAATGCGGTAGTTTAGGAATTGTTTTTAATTTAGGTTTCTCCTGCCATCTCACACAAACTTGGTCACAATGGAAGCCCCTTTGAATTCAGAGTACTACTCCCTTCAACTTCAAGAGTAGGACCAAAAGGCTGCCCTATATATGTGAAAGTCCTTTTTTCTTGCTTGGCGGGAGAGCAAAGATTCAAGAATTGTCAGGATGTCTACTTGACACAAATCAATCGATTGCGCTGTCATTGGTTTCCCCACAAAAAGCTCAAACCATTGAGATCATACGAGTCATCACCAGCGGCTGATCCAGAATACAGTATAGCACTGGGCCGCATTTCATTAGAAAATTAGATACCGTAAAAAAATCACAGTTTTTTTTACAATATCAATTATACACGTCGATCTTTTAAATTTTAATATAGTGAATTCATCAATAATGGAGTTTAAATCCACATCAATAGCGTACTCTCTTTAAGATAAAATAGTTAACCAATTGGCGAGAAATTCATCGCTCATTTTGTTGCGCAAATGTCAACACAATCGACTAATCAATATATATTGTGTATCAATTCCTATTTTCAACAGCTGCTCTAATAATTTCTTAAGGGAATAAACTTCAGATTTCTTTTAGTCTTTTACGTTTTAGAATTTTAGGTTTCATTGTTTGCTTTTCTTTATATGAGAATCATTGCAGCTAGAATTTTCATGCTAAATTTAGAGATGTGATTTGAATATGTTGATCTTATCCATTTTCCTAATTACACACCATTTTATTATAAGATAACATTGACCCAAATGACTAAAATCGATAAATTCATAAGGACTATACTAATTCCGGATCCAGGGGAGGGTTGAGCTGTGGCCCAGGGTGGCCACCCCCTGGATCCGCCACTGGTCATCACCCATGGAGTCAGGTGCAGGAGCTCCATACCAAAATTTTCTCAAATGCTCACTGTGTAATGTACGAGAACATGCTCACGGAGTAGTAGTTCTGAGATTCACTGTGATGGATGTCTTCGAGCAGTCCCCAGGAGTCGGCATATGACATTGCTTTGTTCAAGCCATGGATTTCGTTGTGATTGCACGAGTTGTTTCTGATCTTGGTGGTACTATGTTTTGTTTGGATGCGAGAAGTTTTCTGGATGTACTGTTTTTGGATCTTGCGTTCTGATCTTTTGGGTGGTTGTTTGTACTCTTTGCTTTGCTCTTCTTTGTTGTATCTCTCAAGTACGGTCTGTGTTCAACCGTTTGGTCGAGATCTCATTACGCTGATTTGATTTCAGTTAGATCCATTCCTCTTTGTAACCGATCATTCATAGTGCAATACAAGATTTCCCTTTGTAAAAAAAAAAGAATAGTAGTACACACTTGTGGGATTGCGTGATTTTTTCTTCACATGATGTATTTGTTACTTTTTCAATTATGATATGGCCGTAAGCAGCATATAATCGGGTTGGTCGACATTACTTGTATGAATATGGAATGAAAATAGTGTTTACTTTCTCCCATGTGACATACCCTTGTCTTTTCCATGCTTGCTTCAACTTTTCTATACCTATGACATTCAAGAGAACACCCGTTTTCTTGGAGTCCTCCAACTCAATTGCCATCCCAATTAGTGGCGGACCCAACAATTTTATTCATTGGTGTACTCTTTCAAAAATTAAATTAAAATTTCAAAAATATATTTCTTAAATATAAAAATCCAACTAGTACAAGTTACAAAAAAATACAACTACTTGTTTTCATATTCTGAAAGAAAATACACTCAGAGTTTGCAATATTCAACAAATCTCTTTCATTATATCCTACTATACAATCATTCACGAATTGATCGCATTTTCTATTCCGAACTTTGTTCTTCATGCAGTCTAAAGTTGAAAACTCTCTTTTAACACTTACACTTGCTACATTTAAAATCAATACAAGTTTAAGAAACAAATTGACCGATGAAGACGAGCAGAGGGAGAGAAGAGGACTCAACTCTATGATTGTTTTGTTTCTTCTTTTGCTTTGCTTATCAATATTTGAAGGGTGGGGAATCACAAATTTAGTTGTTTGCGGTTGGATGAAGGGTTGGAAAAATTGGGATTTAATTACTTTATTTTAGAGTATTATGATATTTATGTTTTAAACTTAACAACAAATGATTTGTAGTGTACTATATAACATCTTCTTTGAAAATGAAGTGTCATATCTTTTAATCACCAAGACAACCACCTATTTTCTCCCCAAACTAGTATCCTAGGTTGAAACACTTTAAGGTTCTGATTGCTTCATTCTTAGATTTTTACAAAAGCATATAATGCTTTAATTTCCTGTTAACGTAGAATTATCTTGGTGTTATTGATGGAACTCATGTGGTCGTGCGTCCTAGGAGAGAGGACCAAGCTAGGTTCAGGGATAGGATGAACCATCTTACTATGAATGTGCTTGGCGTATGCACTCTGATTTGGAGTTCATATATTGCTTGTCGGGTTGGGAGGGTTCATCCCATGATGCAAGGGTTCTTCGAGATGCCCTTACTAGGCCTAAGGCCTTAGTATGCCTGAAGGTAAAATGATGTATACAAATCTTTGATGTTATCTAAAGATAATAAAAACTATTCTTTAACTCACAGATTGTTAATTTCATAAAGGGTGTTACTATTTGTGTGATAGTGGCTATGGGAATAGTACTAGGTTCTTAACCCTTATCGTGGTTTAAATTACCATCTTAAAGAGTGGGGACCAAGACGACTATCTAAAGCCGAGGAGTACTATAATATGAAGAATGCGGCGGTTAGGAATGTGGTAGAGCGCATTTTTGGAATTTTAAAAATGAGGTAGGCTATTCTTAGGAATTCTAGCTGGTTCTCCTCTAGTGATGTGGCTCGTATTGTAGTTGCTTGCACCATAATCCATAACTTCATTAAGAAACAACGAGGGGCAGACAGATTTGAAAGGGAATATCAAGATGTTGAGTAAGAAGAAGAACAATGTGATGCAGATGAGGTTAAGACCAGTTCTCCAAATGACTTTCATGCTTGTCTTGCATGGACTTGATTTAGAAAGGATTTGGCGAAGGAGATGTGGGAGAATTTCCCTTTTGTACCTGTTGTTCCACTTGTTTGAGACCATTAAAATCGTGCTTCTCTTACTGGAAGCATAAAGACAACTTGCTGTTACAACTAAAGTTTCTTTTTAAAAATATGTTTTGAATGGAAAGGATGTATTTTGGCACAATGTAGCTTGCTGTTAAATCTGGTATATGTCAAGGTATTCACTAAAATCTGTTGATTCATTAGGTTGCTCTTCTATAACATGTCATAAATATGATTACAATATAGTAGGTTGGTGAACTGTCAGCTTCTTGCCCATTCATTTATTGTTGCAGTCTTGTATGGAAGAAGTTACATGTCTTATTGCCATTTATTATAAAAAAGCGCATTAACATATTCTGCTTTGATGGTTGTTGGTTGCATTGAATGTTGCTTGTAGGCTCATCCAACCTTCAAAAATTACAGAGATACACCATTTTCAGAGTGTTGGGATTTGGTGACTGTGTTCGGAAGAGGGCTGGAGACATGTGAAATGGGGTTTTAGGGAGCTGATGGGAACGTCATAGTAAGTTCTGATGATGAAGCCGAGCCCATAGTTCCATTATCCCATATGAATATCCCTATTGTAGAGGGGAAAAAAATGTTCAATATCATCAATGAAGGGGTTGAGATCTCTACTACTAAGGTTGCAGTTATAAGGAAGGTTCCAACATGAGTTCCAACAAGAAAGAAGAAGAAATTGCAAATAGATGATCGCATAGAAGAAGTTGCATCAGATCTGATTGGGATGAAGCCATTAATAAAGGAATGATGATACAATTGTTAGGGCCATGGGTGAGAAGGAACTGCATATAGAAATGAGGGCAAAGC